AAAAAAAAAAAAGGTCTTTGGAAAAGTGATCGATTATTTTGTTTCATACCAAAACACGAGTTCGAGTCGCCTGGATGTGGACGGTGAAAATATTCAACTGTTGTTTACAAACTTGTCAAGATATAGACGGAGTCTCTGCCATGAAGCTGTTATTATATCGGCAGACTTGGGCTTGAAATTGCACAGGTATTTCATGTCGAGAATGAGCTGCTAACAGCTGGTATTGACTTGTTTGGTCAGTGTCATTCAGTGGACGTTTGGTCTTTCCTAACCGGAGCATTTAAAGGGTATTTCGGTCCTTTTTTAAAAAAAAAAATCTCCCTCACGTTCAAGATTGCAATATTTGATTTGTATTAAAGAATATACAGACCACAGACAAACAGCCGGACGCCTCTTGTTTTAATTGCACATCTGTCAAAACGAGAAAAAAATAAACTGGCTTACCAAGTAGAAAGATAAAGCCGTGATTTTGAATTATTTGACGTTTCCACTGTGTTTTGATGTGGCTGTTTTAAAGCACTTAATTCACTCGTGGGTGGGTACAATGTTTCCTGTAAGTTTTAGGTTTTCCTCGAACATATCGCTCACTTCCTGAACTTGTTTTTTTTTAAATAATAATTCCTCCATCGAAGGGGATATCTTGCTCGTGTTCAAAAACACTGTGTTCATCAGGGGGACAAACTTTGGAAATAAAAAGAATTCTTCAGATTTGCAAGTAACGTTTTGTTCTGGCAGGATGTTTAAACTTGAAGTGAGCTTTTAGAGGAGTCAGTTTTTGCATAGGCAGATGACTGTTTTGCACTACCTTGCTGCTGACTAAGCTATGCCACGGCTGGTGTGTCAAGTAGGTTTTAATTCCAGCACAGCTTTTCACAGAGAAAATATCAGTATATTATTAGAATGATTTGGCTAGATCGGATCAATCAATCAAGCTGATCAGAGTTCTTCAGGTGCTTCTACACATACTATATAAACCCTCCCGAGTCCAGGCTGGACATCCCTGCTGTAGGCACTCAAATTTCAATGAGTCACGGTGCGATGTAATTCTACCTCAAGGGCAATACCTACCTCTGCCTATTAAACTAATGTCTAATGCTTTTGCTTAATTGTCAAGATGCCCAAATAATTCAAACAAAAGCAAACATAAACGAATAAATGTGCATCCTTCTGTTGAATTCTAAGAATTGTCTTCAAAATCCTTTCCTGGTGGAAATGTACGTTTTCCTTCTTGTCCCACACAAATATAAAAATTCCCTTGGATTTTAACATCTTTTTTTAGAAAAGCAGGATTTGACATCACAAAGTTGTAATTATATTATTTCTTTTTCGTTTAACTTTGAGTCTAATTTTTTTTTCTCTGGGTTTTTTTTTAAAGTTTTGAGGGAAATACCGATTTGTTGTCATGTGAGAAATGACGAGGCCATGGAAAACGTTTGTGTGTGCCCCGGTTCCTCATGAATTTCTGTTGGAACCCCTCTGGGACATTACAGTATCATCCTTCCTTAATTGTGATATTTTGCTGGAAAACGGGGCTTCTTTTCCCCCAGCTCAACCCGACCATGAACAGGCCCAGTAATGTGTGACAGTAAACCAAGCC